TCAGTCTTGAGTCAGAATTCCTTCTTTTTCAGGAATTATAAGTTTTGGTGTTAAGTCTTTCAATTGATTGGATGGAAACCACCCACATTAAAATTAAAATAGATTATTAGATGTTAATCATATCTGTAAAATGTCTTTGCAGTAATAGGTAGGACTAATGTTTGACCAGAAAGCTGGACTCCATAGTCCATTCCAATTGACACATAAAATTGAATCATCACTGATCTAGTGTTAAGTGTTTCCACCCCCACAAAAGAGCTAGATAAATTAAAGTCTAGTAAGGTAAATCCTAGTAGAATTCTTGACTACCTTGAGGTAAGTACCTTTTGAAAATCTACACAGGGAGGTTTTTTGTTTTTTTTTTTCCTTGGTACCGGGAACAAATTTGGGTCCTTGTGCTTGTGAGGCTGGCTGCAGAACCACTGAGCTAAATCCCTGGCCTTACAATGGAAGTTTTAAAATGGTTTTATTTTATAATGTCAGAAAATGTGTAGAACTATTGCTGTTTCATTTTTATTAGTACAAGTTTGCAGTACATAATGTTGCATTCATTGTGGGGAGTTGGTACACGTACATAACACATCTTAATTATTTTACTTCCTATTTCCCTCCTCTACCTCTTCCATCTATGTCTTGGTCCCCTTTTCATTTGCACACACACACAAGGAATCTACCTCCTTGTTTACTATTATCTATCTTTTATTTTGCTCTTTATTCGTATTTTGGGTTTCTCACAAGGGAAATCATGTGATATTAAAGTTTGTGTGTCTGATTTATTTCACATAACATTAGAGTCTCCAGGTGTATCTATTTTCCTACAAATGACTCAGGTTTATCCTTTGTGGCACAGTAGCACTGCAGTGTGTGTAAACATCACATTTTCTTTATCCGTTCATCTGTTGACAGACGTATAGTCTGCTCCCAAGACTTAGCTATTATGAATTAGGCTTCTAGAAACACAAGTCTGTAAGTATCTCTACATTATAACATTCTTCACCTCTTTTGGGAAGATACCTAGAAGGGGAACGGTTGAGTGAAATGGGGTTTGTAGTTTCTGTCTTTTGGGGAACCTCCACACGGATTTCCACAATGGGGGCATGAGTTTGCATTCCCACCAACAATGTAAGGTTCCCTTTTCCCCACCACCTAAAATTTTCTCTTTTATTTTAAAAATAAATTTTGTTTTATTGTATCCCTGTCCCCCTCTCAAGCCTTCTCCCCTCCCTACGTAGAAAAGCTTTGTTTCCATTTTCTCCTTCAAGTTTTACCTTTTCTGGTCCCTCCCTCCCTCCCTCCCTTCTCCCTTTCCCCCTTCCCATTTGAATACTTTCCTCCCATTTCCCATTATGCATCATACATTTCTCGGGGAACTAATTTTTTTACTTCGTTATCTGTTCTAGATATCGGTCCACTCTCTGAGTGTAGCTAGTAAAATTTTATTTCCTGCCTGTAGGTTTTCTCTTGACTCTATTGGCTGTTCTTCTGCTTTGCAGAAGCTTCTCAATTTGATAAAATGCCATTTGTTGATACTTAATGTTCTATTCAGAAAGTCCATGCCTACCCCTACACCTTCAAGCATTTTTATCTATTTTACCTTCCAGCAGATTAGTGTTCTGTTTTAAGATTTATGTTTTGGATCGGTTTTTAGGTTAGTGCATGGTGAGAGATGTGCATGGTTCTGTTTTCATTATTCTGTTCCATTGCGCCACATGTCCATTTTTGTGACAGTGTCATGCTTAAAAAATTTTTAAAAAATCATTTTATCTTTGTAATACAATTTAAAATCTGGGATAGTGATGACTCCTGCTTTGCTCTTGTTGCCCAGGATTGCTTTTTCTTTTCAGAGTCTCTTCTGGTTCTGTACAAATTTTAGAATTTCTTTTTGTGTTTGTGTTCTGTGAGGAATGCTATTGGTATTTTGGTTGGAATTGCATTAAGTTTATATGTCAATTATATGGCCATTTTAACAATATTGGTTCTGCCTATCCAGGAACAGGGGATAAGTTTCTGTTTTCTAATGTCTTGTTCGACCTCCTTTTTCAGAGTACTATAATTTTTGTTATAGAGGTCATCCATTTTCCTTGGTTAGGTTAATTCCTGTGTTTAATTTTCTTGAAGCTATTGTGAATGGAGCTGTTTTCCTAATTTCTTTCTCAGTAGGTTCATTATTTGTGTACAGGGATACATTGATTTTGAATGTTGATTTTATATCCTGTAATTATTTTTTGTTTGTTTATTTTCACCCAGAGGCTGCCAAACACAAAGCGATTCTGTAATTATTTTTACCTTATCTTGCAACTTGGCTTCTAAATTAGAACACTTGCTTAAGGAAGACAGTTAATTTTGTACTTATTGTGTGCAGAGTTCAGACTATTGGGCTACAGACCAAATGTTTTATGATTTGTTAATACCCACTGTTAAATACATTGAGCCCATCTTTTAGAAGATAACCTCATCCTCCAACAACGTATACCCCCCTTCTAGGCAACTGACCAAATTTTATGTAAATCTTCATTTCCCCGTTTTTGTACTGTGGCTTCTCTGTTAACCTTTTAAGAATGAATTTAGAGATTTTTTTTGTTATTTTATTGTATAGATGTCATAAATTATTATTTATTTCACTGTTAATGGACATTTAATTTTTTCCTAAAAAACATGATTTTACAAAAATAAAGTTGAATTTCTTAGATTATAAATTTATAGTAACAGACGTTTTTTGGCTTAATTTTCAGTGTTTAAATTTGTTTTTGGATATATACATATATTTACTTGTTTACAGATACATTATATAAAAGAGTATATCATAAAATGTCTTTTCCCTTTCCTGTCTGTTTTCTAGCTTTTCTGCCATAGGCAATCAATGTTATTAATTTCCTATATATTCTTCTGAAGATATTTCTCCATATCCTTTTACACAAATGTCAGCATCTTACACACTTTGCATCATTTTTTTTTGTTTTTTTTTGTTTTTTTGAGACAGGGTCTCACTTTATAGTTCAGGCTGGCCCTGAATTCACTATGTAGCTCAGACTGGTCTTGAACTTGCGGCAGTCCTCCTACCTCTGCCTCCAGTGCTGGGATTACAGGCATGCGCCACCACACCTAGCTCACTTTGCATCTTATTTTTATGTTTTATTTTTTATCTTATTGAGTTTATTGGTACTTTTAAAGTATACAGTACAGTTACATTCATCATTGGGATCTTGCACCTTTACATGACAGATCTTGGGTCTCATTTTTTCCCCTTTCCCCTGCCCTCCCTTCACCCCCTCCTCCCTTCCCTATTTACAAAGACTTTGTTTCCATTTTTTCTCATGTTTTTCTTGTCCCTTATATTTTTTCCCTTGCCCTTCCCACTTCTCCTACACCTTTAGCCCTTTTCTTCCTATTTCACATTATCAGTTATACAATTTGGATCTTGTTTACACTTTGCATCTTACTTTTTAAAAAGTTTTAGTATTAAATCTTGAAGACATTTCCATATCACCATTTAGAGGAAATTTTTTCTTTATTTTAAAAATAGCTACAGAGTATTCTTTTTTTTTTTTTGGTGCCCAGGATCAAACTTGGGTCCTTGCGCTTTCTAGGCAGGCGGCAGAATTATCGAGCTAAATCCCTGGCCCCACAACATTCAGTTTTATTATTATACTGACATTTATTTAACCAACCAGTAGATGAATTTTTGCCACATGCAAATGCGATTTTCCTAGCATACAAACAATTGTACAGGACACATTCTTAACATGAAATTGCTGGCTCGAGTGTATGCACCCTTGTAGTGTTGGTGAATGCCGCAGAATTACTTCTCCGTCATATCAGCTTGCATGGTGGCAGTGATGAACAGAATGCTATTTGACCACACTTTGCCCAGCAGAAGATGTGACCAAGAAACTCAGCATCAGTGTAGTTTTAATGTGACATTGTTTTTACGATAAGTTGAACATCTTTTTGCATATTTAAGAACCATTGTTTTTCAACTCACTCAATGAATACACTTTGTCATTTCCTATTTGATTATTGTGGTTTTTAAAATAAACTTGAAGAAACTCTGTCTATTAGACAACCCTTCTTCTCTATTTCAAATTGAGAGTTTTTCATTTGCCGTTTGACTTATTATGTGTTTTAATAAAGGATTTAAGTATATATATTTGGTACCGGGGATTGAACTCAGAGCCTTGCTCTTGCGAGGCAGGCAGTGGAACCATGGAACTAAATCCCAGCCTATATAGATTTTTTCAAGTTTTCTCTTTTATGACATTCAGGTTTTTAAATGTTTCATTATATTGCTATGTAAATTGACAACATTTAAATTAATCAGAGGTTAGGTGTGGTGATTCCAGCACTCGGTAGGCTGAGGCAGGAGGATTGCTGTGAGTTGGAAGCCAGCCTGGGGTACATAGCAAGACCTTGTTCCAAAAAAAAAAAAAAAATTAATCAGAATTCTAAGAAACTTGCAGGAAAGCAAAAAGAATGCAATGAACATTAAGCCATATGTTTCTACATAGGTCCTATACTGTGTACATATTGTAATTCCCTTTTTTGTGTGTACTGGTGGTGAGGATTGAACCCAGGATCTCATCCATGTTTGGTAAATGCCCTACTTGTGGCGCTTCATCTCCAGCTCCTGTGACTCTCCTTTTTTTTCACAGAAATATTTCAATATAAATTGAAATAGGAGGAGTCTCATATAATTATTCCAGCATGTGTGGCCCCTAGTTTTGTGTCATTCTTGGAAAGATTTTCGTGTGTGTGTGTGTGTGTGTGTGTGTGTGTGTGTGTGTGTAGTACTAGAGATTGAACTCAGGGCCTGATGCATGCTAGGCAAGTGCTCTACCACCCGACAGACTTCCTACAGTCCAAGATTATGGAAGAATTCACTTACATCTTTGTCCAGGACCTTTTTCATTATATTTTGATCTATGTAGAATTTGTTTTTGTATATGAGTTGAGCTTATTTTTTTCCAAATGGTTACCATTTGTCCCAGTAAAATATTATGTCTGTGCTCAATTTGGCAGCACATATAGTAGAATTGGAATGAGACAGAGAAGATTAACATGGTCCATGTGCAAGGACGACATGCAAATATGTGAAGTGTTCCATGTTTTTGCACTTAGCTATGGTTGGGATGAATTTCTAAACATCACACGGGAGCCGTTTGAATCTTTGTGCAATGCCGTAACATTTTTAATAAATCTAAGGCAACAGCAAAAGAAAAAAATACTAAACATGCTAAATCTTTTTCAGTTATAATTGACAAAACTCAACAACAACAACAACAACAATAACAGATTTAGATAACCAGTGCATTTATGCAGTGACTTTAATAAGAAATTTGGGATAGGGCCATTCCAGAATTGTTTAATTCAGTGATTCAACATGGCTTCAAGGACCCAGTGTTTTCTACTTTCTCAGTGTTTTTGCTGTATTTTTGACAAGGTAAAAACTGAACATGATGTCTCTTTACATCTTACTTAAAGAGAGTTTTATGCACAATAATTTAAAATGTTAAATAATGATACTTTATACCACTAAACAGGTGATCAGGCTTGTAGGGTATTTTCATACTGAAAATCAATAGGATTAGGAATCACATCTTTCACAGAGTTCTGTTCTTGTGTCCAATAGAGCAAACATGGCTTCATCATTCTAATGGCAGCTCTGCAGTAGCACTGTTGAGTAAGATTTAGGAAAATTGGATTTAACTTTGATGGAAGTAGCCAAAAACGACTTTGTTTCTCACCAAATCTATAGCTCAGCTGGATTCAGATGCAGCTGCCTTCCTGCTACTTACAGTGCTAACCAAGGTCAGAGCCACATTGTCTAATATCTCTCTGCCTCTCTGGCCTTCTCCTGGGGTTGTCTCTTCAGTTACCTCCCTTTTCTCCTTAGCTACCCATTCTTTCTACTAGATCACTTTGGTAGCTGTCTGACAGCTCTATCTCCCTCTAACTCTACTACACTACGAACTCCTGAAAGCTGTGTTTAACTTGCTACTATGTCTTAATTTCTCATTCTCATCTCATATACTTCACTAAGGCTTTTATTTCCCTTTCTTCCTTTCCCATACTGTTATGGCTTGTGTTGAGGCCCCCCCCCCCCGCGCCTCACGCAGTCTTTTTCAGAGGTGGCTGGATCTACAGTATGTGATTGATTCACAGCAATGCTGGGATTAAGGGTATATGATTAATAAATCAGTTCACTGATTGGCACTGTCCTAATCCCAGTAGCCTAGATAGAGTATAAAAGGTGTAGAAAAGCTGCTAAGGTCCCTTGTTGCTTTTGCTCCTGTGTGGGCCCCATGAGCTGTTCTCCTGTGGGGTGCCCCTCTGCCACGTGCCACTCTGCCTTTGAGACAGCTGATTATGGACTGAAACCTCTACATACTGTGAGCTACATAAACCTTCCTCCCTTAACTTGTGAATGTCAGGTATTTTGACTCAGCAGTGAGAAAAGTAACAGATAATGAGAAGAAAACAATTCCTATGAAGGTTGCTCAACAGGTGCCCACAAAGCCATGCTCTTCTGGTTTTCCAGACCTGTCTGGTGGCTCTGTCCCAGCTGCTATGCTGACCCCCGCTCCTGCCCCAGATTCCCACAGTGCTCCAGGCTCTGTCCTCAGGTTTCCTCTTTTTTCTACCTGCTGTTTCTCTCTAGATTCATGGCTTTAAATATCATCCATTTATCACTTACTTCTAAGTCCACATCTTCTTGTACTAGGGGCTCCTGATTACTCATAGCCTTTGGCTCACATGAAAGTTCTTTTCTAAGCAGTAATCCAGCTAAGTCTCCTATACCTCTCCCTATCGTCCATCATTCTCCACCACAGTAGTCGGTATTAGTATTTTCATAGCATCATTTATCAGTGCCTGACATTTTTATTTATTCATTTACATGTTTATCATCACTGGACTATAAGCTTCTTAAAGTCAAGAGTTAGTCTGTCTTATCCATTGCTATATTTCTATTATTTGAAAGAGAAACAAACACTTATCAAGTAATTGACACTAAATGCTTGTTACTCTGTTTTCGTTTTGTGCAGTCACGTTGTCTCTTCTGCTCTTGGTTCCTTCAAGTTTAGGGAAGCTGAAAAAGAGAGACACCTGAAATTTCTCTGGCTTGGTCTCCATGGCTGTGTTATAGAACCTAGAGCAATTGTAGAAAAAAACCTTGTGGTACCAAAGATTTATGGCTATTGTAAAATATTCATTCATTCATTCTTTCAGGAAACCTTTATTGAGTGCCAAATGCAAGTGTGCTGCTGTTCTGGGCATTGGAGATCAATTAGATATAGATCAGCAACAACAAAACAATAGAAATAGACAAACCAAAACTTGACAATTTAAAAGGCAGATGCCACCCTTGACCTCCAGCATGTTTTCTATTCGCTCATTTTCATGACAGGTTTGTCAACATTGCCTAATTTATCTACACTGGGCTCCTTGGAGATTCATATTATAACTCTTACAGCAGCTAAGATCGAATGATGTGACTTATAAAGCCATAACCTTAATAATGCCATATAAAGCATAATTGTTAAAGCTGTAGAACTTCTGCCAAAATGATTTATCATAACTCTGCTTTATGTCCTAATTTAATTATGTAAGACTTGAGCTAAAATTTAGAATTTTTTGAATATTTTTTTTAATGAATAAAATGAGAGTGAGGTGGGACAATATATATACGTTCAGGTCATGATGTGCCAAAGAACTGCTAATTTTCTTGCCAAACTTTGAGCCAGCTGTTTTAAAATCTAAATTGTAAGGAGTGCATCTGTACAGTTAATAATTAAATGTCTAGAATGAAATAAATCATTTTCCAACTGACTATAAAGAATGACAAATTATGAAAAGAAAATTGTCATTATTGTGATAAGTGCTATTTGTTGTGATATGCCATCATAAAAATGATGTCTGTTAAATTTGTTTCAGTCAGATACATAAAAGGACACAGTATTAGCTGTAGACTATTTTCATCTTTCATACAAGCACTATATTCAGAGCCTTATATTTGTCAAAGTGCTTTAGGTTGGGAAGGAAGAAATTCACTTCAAACTTGCTAAACAAACAAAACAAAGATGATTTATTGTTTCATATAACTGAAAAGGTAGAAGAACTCAGTGAATGAGATGCCAACAGAGAATTCTTTTCTTTTAATCAGAAGCTCTCTGGCTAGATGAATGCCCGCTTATTGTATACTACCAGTCTCTTACCCTCATTCTTCCTCAGTAGCTACAATAGAGAAACCCTGTGCAAGATCTGGAGCGGCCTCATTTGGAGGCAGCCTGCATAATGTGTTTGAAAGGGACCCCATGCTCCTGTATTCCTCTTTCCTTCCAATATTATTCTGGTAGTGAGCTTGTCTTAGCTGAATTTTACATGGAAGAGAATCTCATTAAATGGAATCACCTTAAGGTACTTCAAATGATAGCTTTATGCTTTACAACCCAAATGGGTTAATAATTAGTAATGTCAAAAGGGAAAAGATTTATGGATAAAGCCTGTTTTAATCAGGAACGAAAAGTCACGCAGGGGTGGGCATGATGACGCACGCCTGTTATCCCAGCACTCAGGAGGCTGAGGGAGGAGGATCACCATGAGTTCGAGGCCAACCTGGGCTATATAGTGAGTTCAAGGCCAGCCTGAACTACAAAGTGAGACTCTGTCTCAGAAAATAAAAAAACAAAATGAAACAAAAGTCATGTGAATGTAATTATGTATTCACATAAAAGGCATGGAAATCTGAATGTACCATTTTTGAGTACAAATATTTGGAGATGTATGGGGTAATTGCATGCTTTAGGAAAAGGGGGTACATTGTAGAACTTCAAAAAACAATAAATGAACTCTTTGTATTTTTCAATCACCATGTGCAGAAATTCTAAATAATGTTGTTGATATAAGCATCTCTCCCTATCTGGAGGAACTAGTCTTACTATTCTTGATTCCCCTTGAGGTTCCACTGCCAATACTGATTCCTATTCCCCCATTAAATAACAAAATAAAAATCAGAACCCTGGCATGTTTACTTTTTTGGGGAGACAAATTCTCACTGAATTTGTCCTTCTCCTGCCTCAGCGTCCCAAGTGCTGGGATTGCTGGCATGTGCCACCACAGGCATATTACTTTTCAGAAATCACCTGGCCAGGGAAATTAATGGGTTGGTGATTTGCTCTATAAAGAGAGGTGGGAACTGTGACTTTGAAATAGCAAAAAAATTGTGCTTTATAGAATACATTAGAATTCGTAGCAAAATGTATGTTATACACAGTAAGTAGGAGCTCCTGCTGTAATAGATTTAACTTCCGGGCAAAGTTGCGCTCTAGAAAAGTAATTTAGTAGTCATCTGAGAAACAAGAAGCTTGCGTGTTAGTATTTTAAGAAATAGCTGAATAATACCAAATAACTGTTGTATTGATCTAGGCGCAGGCATATGAATTTGGTTTGGACTCAAGTCTGTTTCACTGCCAGGTAGCCCTGGCCCATCACGGAGTATCGTTAGAGGCCCAGCAGGTGGCGCTCTCCCTTTGTGCGCTATTACTAACCTAGCAGCTTCTCCACCTACGAGGTCCTTTAAAGCTTTGCCTCCTGAACACTGAACAGAACGTGTGTATCTTTGGCGATAACACAGCTACAACCTCTACAAAGGCAACTGTGCTGGTCTGATTTTTAGCAGACTTGAATACATGTGCCTACCCATGCAAATGTCTCTTTTGTTGCTAGAGTTTATCAATCCTTAGTTCTAAGTCTTCATTGGGTTCTGCTAAAATACTTGGACTTCTATTTTGTGTCTAGAGTATTGTGACAATACTGGAGGTCTATATAAAGTGTGATGACTCGTATTTGAAAACCACTTTGAGCAAACGTTTCTCAATTTAAAAAGTCTGTTTTTCTAATAAAAGTCTACACATCCTAGAGCTCCTGCATCTTGCCTTGTCAAAAATTATTGATGAGCCGAAGTTGGAATCCGTCTTCTACATATCTCCAGTAGGATAGATTGTATCGGGCTCAGCTTTCTATAGTTTGTATTGTAAAAACAGCTGTACTTTTGATTTTAAAATATTAAATGTATTAATTTGTGGTAATTTCTCATATTAAATTACTGAAAAT